CAGTGATAGTCATGTATATAGAGATTAGAAATGCATGTGAAAACGTCTCAATGTCAATAGGCTTGGAGAATTTTTCTGTATGCAAAACTATATTTTAATAATGAAATGGAGATCTTTTTAAAGGTTAAAACCTCATTTAATTTTATGTCTTATAGAGTTTATAATGAGTAAAAGATTATATAAGTGTAATAATTCATCTGTAAACCTAGAAATGTACAGCCAATTTTGAAAGAGATGTACCCTAGCTCAGAAAAATGTTATTGAATACGTCAATGCTGTTGTAATGAAATGCTTCTTCTAATTATGTGGTAATTAAATAAATAATTTTAAAAAGTGAAAACAGAGAAGAAAATATCCTCAAACCATAGATCTTATGTTATGAATATGGATTCTTAGAACTCAGTAATTAAAAAGAGAAATTATTCTGTGTAAAACGTGAAAGATCTAGACAGGCACACACTAGCAAAGGTGCACACATAGTCACAGACCCGTGAAAAGTGCACAGCGTTGGAAATGTAGCTCAGTGATAGAACAGCTGCCCTGAGTGTGCAAAGGCTCCAGGTTCCTTCCTCCTCAGTACTGACGGGAAAGGAAAACAAAAAATATTTATCTTTGTTGGCCATTATAGAGAACTATAAATCAAGACTGCAGTGAGACATCATTTCATGTACACTTGGATGACTAAAGTCCCAAAGTCAAGGGTTGGCAGGGATGTGCAGAAGCAGGGCCCCCTCCTGGTCTATTGGAAGGAATGTACAACAATAGTGCATGCACTTGTGGACAGACTGGTACTTCTTCAGAAGGCTAAATGCAGGTACCCTATGGCACAGCAATTCCCATACCCAGGTATATACCCAAGAAAAAGGAGAACTTGTACATGAATGTTCATAATAGAAATGTTTTTTTAAAAGGCACAGTCCCAAACTGGACACAACTCTAATACTTTAACGTTCATCACTTAGTAAAGGGACAAATTATCTGAAAGGTCCAGAACAGGCAGATGTGTTTATGACTTCAGCATCCCCACTACAGGAGGCAGGTGAGTTCTGGGAAGGCTGGTGCAGACTGAATATGATGGCCATTACAGGACAAGTGTTTCATTTGGTATAACAGAATGACCCTGGAGTTAAATGTACAGTTCTCAGTATACTAAAAATACTGACCAGGTTGTGAATGGTTGGTTTTTGTTTGTTTGGCTTAAAAAAAATATTTTTAGGTCTTTTTGAGACAGAGTCTCTGTGTAGCCCCAGTTGGCCTGGAACTCACTATGTGGATCAGGCTGGCCTTGAATTCATAGAGATTCACCTGCCCCTGCCTCCTTTAGTGCTGGGATTAAAGGCATGCACCACCATGCCTGGCTTGGTTTTGAATAGTTGTATTTCATGATATGTGAACATATTTCTAATAAAACTGTTACTAAAAATAAATAAAGAAAGAAGAAACCCTGAACAACAAACCCAGGCCTGATCAAAGGTTCTTTACATCGAATAATACTATCAAGCCCAAAAGACAAAAGTTTTCCCCCTTCTGTTTCATGGCTATAAATAAAGTTATGGTGTAGCTCATCTAACTGGCTCCATATTGATGGCAAGTGTAGGCTGTTTCAGTTTTCAGCTATACTAAACGCTGTGCACTTGCTAACCTTTTAGGCAGGCCATTCCACATTTGGGAAGTTGTGATGAAAGTGAATGTCATTTAGAAGTGTGCACTGGGCGCTCTGTGATGGGAATTCGCCTCTAGTCTTTGGCTTTTTCACTGCAGCACATAAGAGCTGCCTGCCCTTCTGCTTTTTGCACAAGGATGTCATATTAAAAATGCACATTAGTCAAGCTTCTGTTTTGGCACAAAATCTGTGTTTTCCAGGCTTGTCTATATTACCTTGTATAAAGAGGCTATAATAACAGTGCAAGGAATTTTTATGCCATAGTATTTGCATGCAGTGTTCTTTCTGTGGAATCAGTTTAAATTATAAATATGAAAAACCATTTCCCTCATATGTCTAAAGGAATTGCATATATATGCATATATATATGTTAGTTTTTAACATTCTAGGAAGTCATTTCATTATCACAACAAACAATGCACAACCCACTTCTGCCTTCTTTCCCGACATATGTTCATTCAAAGGAGTTTGTCCATTTGACCTCTCTCATATTCTAACAGGCTCAGAGCGGGGAAACTAACTATCGGTGTCTCTGCTGACACCCAGGTCTAGGTTCTGCTTTGAGTGCTTTCTGGATCTGAATCACATACTCTCAATTATTGGAGACCCTTTTCTGCCAGGGACTGCAACTGTCTCTTTTATGTATTTTTTGTTGTTGAAGAAGGAAGAAATTCTTTGCCTTGCATTTATGAATTCTGTTAACCCCTGACATTACTGTTGTCATTTTTTTTTCTTTGGACCCCGTTCTTCAGCCTGGCTAGCATTCTTACCCATCGATATGTTCATAATGTTTGAACACTATCCTTAGCTTCCTTGCAAATTAGTTATCCATTGAATAATTGTTTAATAAGTTTCTATATTTAAGAGTTCTAGATGCTGCAGTATATGTAGAACACACACACACACACATACACACACACATACACACACACACACACCTACACACTCGACATAAAAAGAACCTAAGTCTTAGAGTGCCTGCTGTTTAGTTAGAGAGGAGGCCTGCATCATTAGGACAACCAGCACCCTATGTGGCCTAGGTGACTCCTGGTATAGACCCAGAGAGAAGGCACTACAATAATTCTCCTAATTTAAGGAGCATGAGCTGAGGGAATGAGGGGACAGGAGATGGAGGCACAGAGAAGAGGCTACCGTGGACAGGAAGAATGCATGGTCAACTTGGATTTCACTCACAGATCTGCTTGCTTGTTATGTTTTGGCAGTGCTCAACGGGCACCTTGGATTACATTTTACAACGCTGCCAGTTGGCTCTGCAGAATGTCCATGAAGTCCTGGACAATGGTGATGTCTCTTTGAAATCCTTTGAACCTGCAGTTTTGAAACAAGGAGAGGAAATCCACAATGAGGTGAGGATGCTCAGGAAGTTGGGTGCATCTGATAGTCTCCCCTGCTTGCATTTCCATGTGGGTCTAACACAGGACGCTCCCATTTTAGGGGCGAGGGCAGGTCTCGCTAGCAATGGTAGTAGCTAGCATGTTTGTGCTAGGTCTCTGTCTGTCTGGGCTACTGAAACAAGAATGGTAAATTACATAACTTCTAAAGGACATGAATTTCTCCTCTAGGCTCTCAGGAGCAACGCACATGGCACTTTCTTGTTGTGTCCCAGCTTGGGCCTCCTTTATATGTGCAATAAGTCCATTCATAAGTGTTCTGCTCTCTGGCTTCGTCACCTCCCAAAGTTCACCATCATTTTGATGGTTAAGAATTCAACCTAAGAATTGGGGTGAGCACGCAAATATTTAGACTATTGCATTGGTTAAGGCAGTTTCTAGAGGAAATACAAAATTGACCAGATAACATGTGCACTGGAAGGGACTGCTTTGTATGAGTATAACCTTAAGCCATGGGAAACTGACTTTTCTAATGGGTAGGAAGTATACCTGCCTTTTGCTCTGGAAGACTGTCTTCATCTTCCAAATCTGTGAGCAGATCTGTCCTACCTTCTATAGGAGACACTAACCTTACCCCCAAGGTTTGTCCCAGTACAAACATCCTTGCAGATCCTTTGCAATAGAGGATAGTCAGTGGTTTTCTTAAAGACAAGCAGAAATGCAAGGGATGCGTAAGAATGGTCTCCCACTTAGCGGCAAGAGGCAGTGCTTTGCCTTAAATATAGGAAGCTAGTTGTCTTTCTGCAGTCTGTGAGAGTAGCAGATCTGTAGTGCGTGGTCATTATGCTTTCTAAACTTTACTGTTTTTGTTAATACTCTTCCAGTGTCTTCATCATCTCTGAATATTATATATATATATATATATATTGTTGGCTACTTAGCATTTTTCTATAACTCAATTTTTGCGTAAATTAATGTCTTTCTCAAAAGGAAACTATCCTACTACTTTAAGTGGAAACGCACTATGACTAAAAGTAAACGGAACTAGGAAAGTGTATTTGGTGACAACAGAGCAATCCTGCTCCACTCCAGCAGGCGCCCTTGCAGGGAGAAGATGCCAAGCCTGCAGTTTCCTCCCTCATGCTGAGGACGGAGATTTGTGGTAATTGTCACACAGCTTCATAAATTAAAACAAAATAAAACAGCTCTACACTCAGATGAGTAGATTTTTTATAGGTAACTATAAACTATACTTCAAATAAAGACCTAGGGGAGAAGTAAGGTTATTAACAAGCAATAGAGAATATGAAGTCGTGTCAGCAATCTCAGACTTTGTCGGCAATGTCATAAGAAGGATGGAGGAGAAGTGGGACTGTGCCAGTATTCTTGCTCCTCCTGTCAATGAATAATCACTGAGCACATACCTGACATACCTGGTCCTCCTTTGGTTGCATTAGGGTATAATGGCAAAAAAAAAAAAAAAAAAAAAAAAAAAAAAAAACAAACAAACAAAAAACCCACCCTAGAGAGAAGAGGGAAGTCAGAAACATGAAACACCAGATTATATGGTACATTGAAAGTTGCTAAGTGCTACAGAAAATAAACAGCAAGGTAAGGGTTGGCAAGAAGTGGAGACCATGTGTCTCTACTAGAAAGAAGAAGAGGAAGGGAGCCATGTGCATAGGTGGGTAGAGAACGCCTAGTGTTCTTGGGATAGTTCAGGGGGAGAGAAGAGGGAAGTCAGAAACATGAAACACCAGATTATATGGTACATTGAAAGTTGCTAAGTGCTACAGAAAATAAACAGCAAGGTAAGGGTTGGCAAGAAGTGGAGACCATGTGTCTCTACTAGAAAGAAGAAGAGGAAGGGAGCCATGTGCATAGGTGGGTAGAGAACGCCTAGTGTTCTTGGGATAGTTCAGGGGGAGTGTGAGTGGAGGGAATGAGGCTCCCAGTCGTAGGAGGTGAGGTCACAGGGATAATGTCAGGAGCCTGAGAAGTAGCAGATGCATAGATCCTGAGAGGCTCTTTCTTTTTACTATGAGGGAAGTAGCCCTTGAAAGACCCTGAGCAGAAGAGAAACAACATCTGTACACACAGCTGTGTAATTTCTTTGAAAAAGTTTTCAATATCTTGTGAGATGGAAAACACTATCAGAATCTTCAGACCCATAGGCAAAAAGGCCATATGCCTTTGCCAGGCTAATTATAAAATGAGGCACTTAGTTTTGAATACTTTCAGGCTGTCCACATTCAGGAATGGCTTGTTTTCTAATAAAACAATATGGGAGCTTTAAGCATTAGAATGGCTTTTCTTTTTAGATTGCTCCCCTGGACCCCTATCCCCACATTTTAAGATGCATAGAAAAGATTTCTATTCACTTATAAGTAGAATCTTCCTCTATGTTATGAAACTGTTTGTTTTCTTTCTCAAAACCAGTAGGTTGTGAACTCATGGGGTAGCAGATTTCTCCTGGAAGCAGACACAGTCGATGCCACTGTCAGGGTCTCATGTTCTTCTGCTCAGACCCACATCCTCCCCATAGCTGCTCTGGAATCATAGTGTGTCTGTGTAGCTGGGACTGAGCACTGTCCGGGTCTAGCACTTTTCTTGGTGAAGAAACGTAGTGTAGATATTACATTGAGATGTTAGTCCTAAAGGGCATGTGGACATGCCCCACAAGGGAACTGTGTGGCCGACCTGGGATCAAATTGAGCCTAAACAACATGGCGGAGAAAAGCAGTTATTTTCTTACCTACAGGAATAGTGGCAATCACTATGTGGTGATAGTGCCTTTGACATATGATTTGTAATCTTCTGTTCATTTTTTTGAGATGGGCTCCCACTGTTTCCCAGGATGGACACAAACTCTGAGCCTCAGACACCTGAGTGCTGGGATTGCAGGTGTACACCATAGCTGACTGATTTTAGAATCTCTAAGCTTTGTTTCATATTACCTCAGTATCCTGTAACTGAGATTCAGGAGGCAGATAGATTGTGTTTCTTTCCCCTTCAAATAGTCTCTTAGTATTTCTGGGAGAGCACTAAACTTGGTTAAGCTCTTTTGACTGTCCTGTGGAGAAGGCAGGAGCAAGTAAGAAGGTTGCAGGCATGGACTACTATGAACTTGTTTTCATGTTTCTCTGAAGATGTGGAAGACCCTTGGTGATTCTGTAAGGCCTTTATGTTGCTAGTCTGCCTTCTGATACCTGTGGGCTCTCATTTACTTTGTATTGGATTGCTCAAAAGGTCGAATAATAGTGAATTTTCACTAAGTGCATGCCAGAGATCAGGGACTTTGGTCTATACAAGCATGAAGAAGACACCAAGACCCTCCAGAGAGCTCTTGCATGTTGCCGCTGTTGTTCTTGTCTTTAGGGACCCGTGTCACCCGTGGAACCTTCCTAGTCTCCAGTCTGCATTGCATCCACCTTCCTGATGACTTGTCTTTTCTTTCTGCTCTGCTAGCTGTGAGCCTTCTTGTGGGGGGCTTGTGCTCTGGAGAAGGATGGAGACCCTGCCTTTGATGGGTTTGGAACTTTCTCAGTCACTCAATATGCTTGTGCTTTGATTTTTTTTTTTCCTTTTTTCTTTTTACCTCTGCAGTAATAAGACTCGTATTGTATTTTGATTTCTGACTCCTTGGCTTGTGCAAAGTCCACCTTGCAGCTTTTCCTATCCCCAGAGTTTTAGAAAGAAAAATTCTCTTGGTAATGGGGGAACTGGCAAAGGTAACATTTGATTAAAATCCTATGATTTTTTTTTAATACACAACACTAAAATAAAAAGGCAGGTCATAGAATTGAATAAAGTGCATGCTAATGGATTTGATGTCCACAAATATATGGCATCTTTTCAACTCTTTCATCCCATTAGGAAAACTGGTGGGAGAGAGTCCTCTATGCAGAGCTTTCCCAAGTAGCATTAGTGGCAAAGGGTGTGAACCAACAGGGATAACAGAACCCTTCTGTTCAGAAAACCCTCTAGGATTGTGAGATTCTTGCACAAGCTCTGAGGCTTATGGCCATTTTTAGCTTGTATTCTTTTTGTCTAGTAAGACTCTGGCATACAATAGGTGGCCTTATTAACCCATTTTATCCTAACCAGAAGCCTATGTGGTTATTATTTAATTATCCCTATTTCACAGTTGGCATAGGTGTTCTGTGTTGGAAGCCCATTTTGAATAGACTTTAGAACCCTATTGTTTAGTTATTTGTGTTTTTAAAATTGTTTTTATTGTTGCTGGTGGTAGTAGTGATGTGGCTTTTAAAAATCTATTAACTTATAAATAATTAGGTCTCATGACATTTTTGGGTTTTATTTTATATGTATGAGTGTTTTGCTTGCATATATGTAACTGCACCTGTGTCATGTAAAGCCAACAGAAGCCAGAACGGGGTGTTGGATACCCTAGAATTGAAGTTATTAGATGTTTGTTAACTGCGATGTGCAAGCTGGGAATTGAATCCCAGTCCTCTGGAAGAATAGCAGGTGTTTTTAACCGCTAAGCCATCTCTCCAGCCCCAATTATTATGACATTTTGAAACAATTTTTCCTTGTTTCTGTCCCCCAACTTCGTCCTCATCCCTTCTCTTTCCCACTTCCAGTTTGACACAGAATCTGTCTTTGTAGCCCAGGCTAGGCTTGAACTTAAGATCCTCCACCATCAGGTCAGGAAGTGCTAGGATTATTAGTATGCACCACTGTGTCTGGCTTAGAACCACCATTTAAAAAAAAATCATTCATTCTTTTCAATTAGCCAAAATAAAGGCTTTCATTGTGACTTTTTTTTTTTTGGAGACAGGGTTTCTCTGTAGCCCCCACTGGCCTAGAACTCACTATGTAGAACAGGCTGGCCTCCATCTCAGAGAGATCCACCTACCTTTGCTTCCCAAGTGCCATATGATCCAGGTATACCACTCCTGGGTGTATACATAAAGGATTCAAAGTCAGCACACCACAGAGATGCCTGCATTTACTGCCACACTATTCACAATAGCAATATATGGAATTCGTCTAGATATTCATCAACAGATGAATGGGTAAAGAAATCGTGGTCCATATGTAGTAGAACATTATTCAACTGTAAACGAGGTTGAAAATATATGGATCTAGACAAAAAGAATACAAACTGGGCATGGTGGCACGTGCCTTTAATCTCAGTACTCCACTGACGAGGCAAAGGTAGGAACTTTATGGGTTTAAAGCCAGCCTGGTCTACTTAATGCATTATAGACTTCCCAGGGGACCCTGTCTCAAGAAAAAGGAAGGGAGGGAGGGATGGAAGGAGGGAGGGAGAGAGGGAGGGAAAAGAAGAAAAGCTAGTGAGGCATCTGAGGAGAAGGCTTTATCTGTCAGCATAGCCAGGGCTGTGCTTTTGCCGTCTTGTTCTATGGCAGAGTCGCTCCTACATCCTTCTTCCTGCTTCCAAGCTCTAATTCCCTGAAGTGCAAACTCTCATGGACCCTGATAGGTTGATACCCTCCTTGTGTGTGATATTCTGTTTTATTTCCTGGGTACCAGTGTTGTCACAGCTTACAAGTTTTGTCCCCTTCAATGGAAATAACCAGCTCAAAGGTTGGAAAACCTTTTGGAACCATTTGAAAACCACGTCTCCCAACATCATGATTAGGCTTTGCTGTCCACATTCTAATAGTGTGAATAATCTATTAAGAAGCACTCTCTTAGCTGGGCCCTGGTGGTACACATCTTTATTCCCAGCACTAATCTCAGCACTTCACTGGGGAAGGCAGAGTCAGTGGCAGGCAGATCTCTGTGAGATCAAGACCAGCCTGGTATGAGTTCCATGCCAAATGGGGCTACTGGGAAACCCTATTTCAAAACAAGCAAACAAACAAAAAACAACCCTTCCCCAAAGCACTCTTTTCTTGCAATACATATGTTGTTGAGCCTGCATCTTCCTGAAGTTGAACTGTGTTTATATTCTTTCTCCTTTCAAAATACTCATTCACTTCTTTTGACCACTCTCTTTTAATACCACAGATAAGGTTTAGTAACCGTCTTATTACTGCCTACGTTTGTTTTTTACTTTGCTGTTTTGTTTAAACAGCTTTAACTGAAATCAGGTCTACATAGCCAGCAAACATTTTGTTAATGTAAACTAAAACCTTTTCAGTTGACTTGCTCTTCTCTAGTTTCTTTCTTGAGCCATTTTCACCATTGTTAAATCTTCCGAAGTTGCTTTGGTTTGTCTCATGAAAATTCAGTATGGATAAACAAACAAAAAATTCTCTGTGGTAACAGGTGACGATTACAATAGCTCAATTCTATGTATGGAACATGATCACCTTAGCAAAGCAGACATCTCAGCTGGTGCTGGCATTGCTCGAGGCTTCTTTAGAGGGCAAAGGTTGAAAGGAGTTTTTAGGATCAGTGGGGTTAGACTTTGATAGTGAAGTTTGGCTTTCAGTGGAAGACAAGCGATGGAAGACTGACTGTGAAGTGCTGTTCAGCCTCTCGTCTGTATGGGCTGGAATTATTTCAGTTGTAAGCATCAGCCGGAGGGACTTGAATTCGCTCAAGTGAACCAGTGAAGCTATTCAGGAATAGCTTCATTGAGTCAACCGATGTCTACAGGACCTGGCTTTCATCTTTTTATCTTGTAGTCATTTCCTACTGTGTTGGTTCCATTCTCCTTATTTGATAGCAAAATGTCTACAGTCTTTTTCCTGTGATTTTTTTCACAGTCTTGAGACCTGTTGTGGTTGCATATAACCTTCTCCTCCCCAGCCCAGAAACAGGTTGGGACTTAGACTTAGCCCTAGTTGCCAGTTCTACCCTTCCTACTCAAGCTATAGCCTAGGGACTGAGCCTGGGGAAGGGTAATGAGTGAACTGTCTTGTGGGTAGGAGGGCTGCTAAGGAGGTAACAACTATTGAGCAGATTCGTGGAAAAGTACATACATCAGTGGGCTCTGTCTTTGCTGCTCTTACCTGTTGCACTTAGCCCTTATTGAGTCAGCAAGTGATGGTCTCAGTGGATGGTAGGAGGTTGAATGCCTCCATGACTAATTGCTGCTGTTTGGTTATATGGCTAAATTGATCACCAGCTCCTGACCCTCGGGTAAGTTCTCTATTTTTAATGTAAGAAATTGGCAAATGATATTCTTAATATCAATGCCATGCCTTTTAAGTATTTAAAAATATTTCATTTTTACTTCGTGCATATGAGTATATTGCCTGCATGTATGTGAGTGCACCCATGTCGTGCAATGCCTGTGGAGGTCAGAAGAGGGCATTGGATTCCCTGGAACTGGAGTTATGGATGATTGTTAGCTGCCATGTGGGTGCTGGGAACTGAACCTGGGTCCTCTGCAAGAGCAGCCAGTGCTCTTAACTTCTGAGCCATTGCCCTTCAGCCTTTTGTTTTTGTTTTTGTTTTTGTTTTGTTTTTTGTTTTTGTTTTTTTGAGACAGGGTCTCCCCTGTAGCTCCAAATGGCCTGGAACTTGATATGTAGACCAGGATAAACTTGAAATCAAAGAGATCTGCCTGCCTCTGCCTCCTGAGTGCTGGGATTAAAGGTGTGCACACCACACCCGGCTTCCTTAGCTTTTAATAAAGATGCTTAATAAGAACATTTTTCTTGGTTATGTTTTTCCATCATACACAGTGGAGGCTGTTTCTCCTTCAGAATCTTAGTATTCTGCCTAACGTGTGATTGAAGACCCCTCTAGCCTGACCTGGGCTGTCTCTCTAGGAGGACCTTAGCTCTAAGACTTCCTTTCCTTGGCTTTGCAGAATGCTCTGGAGATTCCATGGTGTGCAGGGAATGGGTCAGGCCAAGCTCTTCTCACCTTTCCCACCTTATGGCTCCTAAGTTGCCAGAGGAGAATTAAGTCCTTGTCCTCGCTCCTCTATCACAAGGACACTGTAACCACTACCTTCTTGTTCTGGTCCACAGGTCGAGTTTGAGTGGCTCAGACAGTTCTGGTTTCAGGGAAATCGATACAAAATTTGCACTGACTGGTGGTGTGCACCCATGACTCAGCTGGAAGGGCTGTGGAAGAAGATGGAGAACATGGTAAGTGCATGAGGCCTGGCAGTGTTTTCTGGGGTGCTGCACTTTAGAAATCCTCAGCTGTCTAATTTTCACATGCAAATGTATATTCACTCATTCTACCTGAGGGCATTAGGTTATTTCCAGCCAGGTAATGGGAGCAGCCTGCATTTTGTCAGAACAGCTTCAGTTTAGTTCAGTGAACAGTTCTTGTGCTCTTCTTAAAAGGCCTCTGCTAGGCCTATGCTTGGACATGGCAAGGACACTGTAATAATAGTATCCAACATCCATTTCTGTTTTTATGCACCAGCCACTATACCAACGTTTTCCCTGTATCAACTTTTAAACCCTTATAACAATGCTAGGTAATGTAGAAAGGGTTCTGTGCCTTAACTTAAAGATGTGAAAACTGAGATGCAGAGAAATTAGGAGCCTTGCCCAAGGCCACTACATGGCTGATGGAGATGGAAGCCCAGGCTGCCTGACTGTAGAGCTTATGCTCTTAGTCATTGTAATCCAGTAGTTCAACAAGGAGAGAGATGTGAATGCCACTACAAATTATTTTATCTGAAATGAAATAAAGGAATAGAGCTTAAAAAAAGAAATCACAGGAGCTGGCAAGATGACTCAGTGGATAAAGACGATTGCCACCAAACCTGAGGACCTGTGTTCTGTTCCTGGGACCCACATGGTAGAAGAAGAGAACTGACTTTCAAATTGTTCTCTGATCTCCACACATGCACTATGGCCCATATGTTCCCCCTGTCAATAAATAAATACACGTAAAAATATAATAGTTCAGAGGAGGAAGTATCAATTCGGACCACTGCACCTGGGACTGTTATGAAACTATTGGTATGGTTTGGGGAGACATGTAGGGTGGAGGGGGGATGGGATGGGGCATCTGGGGAGGAACATTAGGCTCTTGAAGGTGTGAAAGCAAGGTCAGAAGTGAGGTGTAGGGTGTGTGATAGCAGCTGGAGCATGGGTGGAAGCTGCCTGAGGAAGACTCAATGTAGACATAGTGCTAACAGCAAATGCTGACATGGTGCTTACTGAGAACTAGAGCTAACCTCACATAATTGTTTTTTGCTGTTACTGATTTAATGTTCATAATATCCTCATGCAATAGGTATAATTTTGTCCTACTTTCACAAAACTAGGAGAAGACCAGAACCCAAAGAGCTTATGTAACTTTCCCAAGGTCACCAGCTAATAGGTGTGGGGATGGGGGGGAGGCTATGATTTGCACTCTGGTAGGCTTGCTCTAGGGTCCTTGCCCTTTATCGGCTCACTGATCTGCTTCCAAACAGTTGAATTTGGAATGTAGAGGAAAAGCGATAAAAGCCTGCTAAACTCTGGAGAGCGCCACTGCACAGAATTTGAAATGTGCTGAGGGCAGTGGACATGTCTGCAGGAGTGCGCAGCTATGGCCCAGCCCCTGTATTCATTTTTCAAACAGCTTTGTGGAGTTATGCTTGACATACAGGAAGCTGTACATGCCGTGTAGCATGTATGTTTTGATGAGTTTAGAGATAAAAAAAGTACCCATGAAGCCATAATCATAGCCCTTGCTGCAAACTGTCACCTCTAAAAGTATCCACCTGCCTTCCAATTCTTTGTCATTATTGCCATTGTTGTTGTCATAAAATGCTTAACATGGAATCTTCCCTAATCCCTGTTCCATAATAACAAAATATCAAGTTACAAACCGGAAGGTCCCACCTTTAAAGTCTGGGTCAGAATCCACAAGAGCCTGCTTCTAGATAGCTGTCAGATCTTTAAGTTTTGCAGAAATCTGTTCCCCAGAAAGGAATGTTACAGTCCTTTAATGTCTTAATAGTATTATACAAATTAATTTCTCTAAAGACCTGAATTAGTAGTACAAAATGAAACATTGTACCATCAAGTTGGGGGTGATGAAGAGTCCCCCTCTGCCTGGTTTCTGTTCCTAAGCCATGCCTAGGGAGTGAATGCCCTATTTTTTTTTTAAATGTGTATGAGCATTTTTTGCCTGTGTATGTAAATGTGTCATGCAGTATCCATAGATGCCACAATAGGGCATCAGATCCCTTGGAACTGGAGTTTTGTTTTTTTTTTTAATTAAAAAAAATTTTTTTAGAAGCATTTCATTACAGTTTCCAGAAAGATACATCTCTTTCAAAAGTGGTTATAAAATTTTTAGGTTCGCTGTTGAATTAGTACAGTTATATAATATTGAACTCAGTATAAGCTCTGTAAGCCATAAAATTGAGTTTTTAACCTTTAAAAAAGATCTCCATTTCATTATAAAATATACTGTTTCTTACAGAAAGACTCATTGTTTTTTTGCTAATAACACTGAGATTTTGGTGCATGAGTCTCTGATCTGTATGTATCTGATTATTACTGATTATTATTATCTGGGCCAACACC